AAACAGAGAAAATGTCCATGACCTTTAGTCTATTTTGTCAAGGTCAATACCAACACAAAAATGTACCCTAAGTTCATGAAACTTTCTCCAGTGACATATTTCAGCTATTTGTACTTTATTACAGAAGAAAACTTTTAGAAGGTTTTTAACTAATCTAAAGAAAATCTACCTTTGAAATTGTTTAATATTGGAAGGCTGCCCCCTTCCCTCGCGTATTTCTAAAAATTCACCCCACCTCTTTTCTTCAAATCTTCACCACAGAGAGGTTCTAAGAAAACATGCACTGGGGTGGGGAGAAAAAAGAGGTTGAGAACCACTGAACTGGGGAATATTCTCTTTATTGAAATGAGTGGAGATAGCACTGTGTTCCCATCACGAAACATATCCAGTTATTTAAAAGGGCTTGGGCACCCCCCGCCCGCCCACCCAACCCCAAACACACCCATTTTCATGAGGCTTGTGGGCATGGAGATTTCTGTAGGTCAGCATTATCTAGACAGAGTGACCTCCAGTCCTTATGGCATATTTATGTGATTTAGTAAAAGGCTCCCCTGCCATCTGTGGGAAGATTGTTTATAATGTTTTTGTTGGAAGACACTTTACTGCTCTCTGATAGACATTTGTCATAACAAATATACAAAATCATGATATGAATAACATGTCCTTGGCCATGGTGCCATTGTGTAGTTCACAGCCTGCACAATCATATGGGACACTTGCAAGTAGACAAAAGAAAATAGAAATCACCACAGCTACACTTGGCCATAACATAAAAATGAGAAACAATATGCATTGCAGTAACTCCTGAAGAGTTCTTCTTTGGAAAGTCATGGTGTTGGAATGCCGTGGAGGTAGGTGTGGGCAGGGGAGGGTTCTTTCATTGATGCCTTCCATTACTGAGAATAAGAGCTTGGCCATTGTTCTTCAGATGTCTTCCAGTCAGTTAAAAAAAAAAAAAAAAAAAAGCCTACAAATTCCTACTAAGCAGCCAAATGGAAAAGATTCTCTGTTTACAGAGAAAACACAAAGCTTGTTTCTTCCCCACCATTAAGCAGTCCGAGTAGACTTAGCAGAACTTTTCCACTTAGGTATCCAAGTTAAGGCTATCAGTGACTTTTCACTTGAAATCTAAACATTTTAGAAACATTTTGTAGGGGAAACTATGCACAGGCCTATTCAAAATGAATCAAATAAATAGTTTGGTGGGTTTCCATCTTGGAAGTAGGATATTTATTTAAGAAACTCTAATAAAGCCCTCTTTTCAAGCCCATAAAAACTACAGTCAGAACCAAGTGGTAGACGAAAGACTCAGGAAATAGTTATTGATGTGTGTGTGTGTGTGTGTGTGTGTGTGTGTGTGAGAGAGAGAGAGAGAGAGAGAGAGAGAGAGAGAGGAAGCAACTGGATGAGAAACTCTTATAATGGTTCTTATTTTCCCCAACTTTGAAAAGCTATTCTACTGGTAGGAGAATTTAAGTTTATTTTCACTCCCTGATTAGCTCTCCCAGGCAAGAGATAGAAGCCACGGCAAGGCTCAGGCTGGCCTGTGAGCATAGCTGTGAGAGTTGGGGTTGACACATGGACAGACAGGTCAGTAAGGGAAGGTCCCAATCCTCATGCCCAGGAATTGGGCAGAAACCAGAATGAATCTACAAAGAATGGACAAGAGAGAAGAGGTTGCCTCTCAGAGGTTCCAGAAGAATGCCAAAGTCTAACCTTTTGTTGGGTGTCCACAAATGAGCACCAAGAGTCATGAAAGAAGTTTGGAGATCAACCTACCTCTTGATTTACTTTAGCATGTGTGAGGCCCTGGGTTCGATCCTTAGCACCACGTACATATAAATAAAATAAAGCTAAAAGAAAATAGAAATCACCACAGCTACACTTGGCCATAACATAAAAACGAGAAACTATATTCATTGCATTAATAAGAAATCAGAAAACTATGAGGGAAACATTATATCAGAAAGAAAAATTTAAAATGCAGAGTTGAGTTACAAAAAACATCTCAAAATTCTATGAAGAAAAACTGGGGGGGAGTGTGCGAATTGTTATTGTGATCCAAGTAACAAAGCTGGACAAGTACCAGTGTTTCTGAAATAGCCACATTGGAGATCGAAGGCTCTGAATGGTTAAAAAAAATTGCTTAGCTAAACACCAGTGATGACATTTGGCAAACACTTGGCACCTTATGCTTGTGATTTTTTTAATATAAATATAACCCTAAATCAGTGACCCACTTAGGTTTTCTAATAAATGTGCATGCTTAGAATTCCATCCTTTCTCATTTACAGCATTTTCTATTCAGTGAAGTAATAAGGAGAAATGTATGTGTGATGTGTTCTTCCTATCACAAACATTTTTTGACATAAACACTATAGATGTTTAGTTAGATGCATAATCCCCAGCTTAGCATTAGTTATTTGTGGTTATTGTTGTGTGGCTTGGTTAGCCCCTAGCTGCATGGTCGGGGAGGTAGAAGCTTCCTATGAAGGATTTACACTTCACAGTTTCCTCATCTGTCAATAGATGGGGCTCATCAGTGTCTTCAGCTGCATCCAATGAGATTTGTAACTTTACCCCTTGGGCGTAAGATGCAATGGTGGAAAGTAAAGACAAAAGAAACCAGAAATCCCCTCCCTCTGTGTCTTCCTTGAAGGGTCATTAAAGATGAAGTCCTTGAATCTCAATCTTGACCACACACCAGAATCACCTGGAGCCTTTATAGACTCTGATTCCCAGACAGTGTCCCAGATCAATCAAATCAGAAACTCTTAAGGTAGGACCTGATCTGACTCAGGGTTTGGTTTTGGTGTGTGTGTGTGTGTGTGTGTGTGTGTGTGTAGTTCCATAGATAGTTCTTTTTGAGAGCAACTGGATTAAATGAAACAATGCAGATACCTGGCATACAGTAGTGCTTGGCATACATCTGGTGCCCAATGAGTAAGAGCACTGGCTTCTTTGAATTGTTTCCTGATAGCCCTGTCCCTTTTTCTGAGCCCCTGCCTGTTCTGAACTTGTACAGGAGAAGTATTTTGTCTGTCTGGGTCTTAAAAAAAATCCATCAAAGGTGACTTACCTCCAACTTAGAGGATTATTGACTTCATACTGAAAAGGATAGAACTTTCTTCTTTTTTCCCTTTTAAGGTTCCACCTCATCATTTATTTCATGTCTTTATCTTCCAATATTACTTAACTTCTTTCACTTTTATAGGTAAAAGCTTCAGATCCTCACAATCTATGGATTTAGGAAGAATTCTGTCCCCAGGAGTTTAAATAGTCAAACCTACTCAAGCACTTCAGAAGGATCAGGATGGAAATGAAGTATAAGAAATAAAGGAGGGTCCTAAAAATAGAACACAACTCATCCATTTCAATTAAAAATGTCTTCATATTTTCCAAGCATTTTTGAACTCTTAAGTATTTTTAATAAGCTCACTTATGAGTCCTATTTAAGAATAAATAAATTACACTTGTTTTCATTAAGGAAGGAGATCTTTTTCCATCTCTGTGGGTATTGTCAAAGGAGACATAAAGGAGGCCAAAATTCAGCAAAAGAGCACATTATTAGTGGCATATTGGTCACAGATGTGCTGGTAGAGCTGCATATTCTTCCTGCAATTAGTATTTTAAGTGCCCACAAATTACATATGAAAACCCAGATAACTTCCTTACAAAACAGAAAGATGAAAATATTATGATATTTGAAAAATCTTCATTGTAAAGGTAATCTAAGTAAGTTTTCATAAGTAGGGAAGTGACGTGTGTCTGTTGCTAAGTGACACGTCAGTTGTTGTCCTTTTGAAGGAGAAGTAGCTCTAGATGATGGCAACCTTCACCTATACTCATCCATTCCAAATGTTTTCAACAAGTGAAAATACCTGTAGATATTCTTTGGCAATACCTGTGAATGATAAATTTCCTTTCTGTAATGATTCTTAAGAAAATAAAGAAGACAAAACTCCAGAGACAGGGGAATTCTCTATAGTAAGTTTATGGCTTGAATTTGTAGGCCTTTGAAGCAGGATTTGAGGATGTTGGCCAAATTTTTTTCACTTACCCTAAATACATGTAAGAAGACATGAAGGATGTGACTCTACTTTGTGTACAACCAGAGAGATGAAAAATTGTGCTCTGAATGTATAATATGAATTATAATGCATTCTGTTGTCAGATATAACAAATCAAAAAATTTTTTAGAAATAAGAAAAAAAGAAAGTCCTAAAGGGACTATAAGGAGAGTACTAACAAGCCATCACTGGAAGCAGGCTTAGGATTCACCTGGGAGGAAATGGTGTAGGCACTAGGACGTACATAAAGGTGGTTGCAATAGATGAATATGATTCCAGATCTAAGGCTCTGACGGTAAGGATAGAGTAGAAGGAAAATGTGTGCAGTAAAGGAAAAAGCATCAAGAAACAGATTTGACAGAGAGTAATGACAAGTTAAATAAGACTTCTTGAGAACTTTTTACTCACATTGGTATGAAAACTATACAGAAGAATAAATCCTAGAGGAATGACAGATATTCTCCCTGTTTAAGTTTATGAGCTAACCAGTTTGAAAGGTTAGGTAAGTTGAAAGTGATAAGCAATTGAAAAAAAAAAAAGAAAGGATTAGTTTGTTACCCATGTAAGAAACTGAATCATGCCCGTCCCCGAAACCAAGATGATCTGGTTTTCTAATATATAGATAGAAAGTTTTATTGCATTTTTTAATTTAGTAAGAATATACATTTAAGATGATCTGATGATTAAAATGACAGGTGGCTTCAAATCAGAGGCTTGTAATCTATTCTTCAGCCCCAGTGCTATCTGATCACACTGTTGAGGAAATGTCAATGTTTGATGCTCCTGTGGTGCTGCTTGGTTCCTGGTGTGTTATCGCTTTATAAGTTCAAGACATCCTACTGTACGGTTTTTTAAATAAACCTGTAGGAAAGACTTGACATTCTTTTTCTTCTCAACAGTTACTTGTTTTCTTGCTTCCCATTTCCCTAGGAAAGTGACACTATTGGAGGACACTGATCAGAACATTCATCTGAAAAACCTGTCTCTGCATCAAGCAACAAACGAGGAAGAAGCTCTGAATTTGCTCTTCTTAGGAGACACCAACAGAATGATTGCAGAGGTAATGAACTTTTCCCTGCAAGCTGTCCTTCCAGTATTATGGGGGATATATTAGACTTTTAGAAGAAGCCAAGACTTTAATCATGACCTCATCCAAGACTCACGTTGCAAATAAGAAAGCCTAGATCCATGAGGGAGGAGAAGGTCACCTAGCTAGTGAGAAGAGGGGCTGAAATTTTCACCTCTCGCTTCTCAGCCCACTGCTTTGTCAGCCTTTTAGTTTTCATTGCTTATATTTTTCAAGTTTTATTCAAATTGGTTTGCAGCTTATCAGTGGTGATCCATAAAATATCTTAATTATACTAAGTTTTGCATGATTTTCTAAATTTAAAAATACACAGGGCACTCTTCTAACTTCAGGCCATCCATATATTGGCATATGTTTATACCTCTGTGTCATTTCATTTAGTTATTGAGTTAGTATTTACAAAGTATTTAGAGTGCCCCGTGGAACCCAGGAAGTACTCTGTGCATTTGCAGCTAGTATTGTCAGGTCTGAGACCACCATTACAGTATGCAGTACAAGGATGTCTCACTACAATATCTGGGGCATGCTTATAGTAAAAATCATTCATAGTTTACCTCATATTCAGATTTATCTGAGTTCCTTTATTTTATCTGGGAATCCTTGGGAGGGTCCAGGATTGACCCAGCTTGGTCAGGGGCTCAACCTTAACCAGTTACAGATCAGAGATGAAGGATCATGAGTCTCTCATGGAGCTACGCTGAAATGAAGAGGATAGGGGTGGTGCTGAGGGTGGTGGTGGTGGGTGGGGAACTGGTCTGAAAAGGAACAGCTTGCTATTATCACTGGCACTTTCTTTATAAAGCCATGCTCCCAGAGTTCTATATTTTACCTTGTCTTGATAACAAGTAGGTTAGAATAGTACACTGAGAAGGTAGACAATCAGAGAAAAATCTTCATCAAGTGACCTTTCTTCTGCCCATGGCCACACTCTAGAATGAACTGCCCTAGATGTAAAATAGATAGATGGAAATCAGATTCCAACAGTAAAGGCACGGTGTTGATGTCTTTTGGTGCTGGGCCCTTGGTCTTGTCGTTGTTGTTTAGTAATTAAATACTTTTCAATACACTGACCAACTTTATATATATATAGGTTGGGCTTATGTGCCATATATGATACAGATGTAAGGACTCAAATTGTTTCTTTAATTTGAAGAGAGTTTAAATAGTTTTTAATTTCAGAATATCTTGTTTTGCTTTATAATATTTTGCATTTTTCTCTGGGCATCCATATTTTGCCCCATAATCATCTGTGATGTTCTCATTTGTTTCAGTAACAGAAGTTAAGGAATAAAGGCAGATTAAGAATTAGGACATATAATGATGAAAGACTTAGCATGTTCCCACTAAACTCTATTCCTCCAGACACAAATTTTTAAAAATGTCACACCATGAGATACAGAATATAGATGGGCCTATGTGAAAAAGAAAAGATGGATTCATAAATGTTCTTGGGAAGCAGGTGGGGAGTCCTGACCCTGCTGCCCTGCGAACCTTACTCAAGAGTGACTCAGCCCTGGAGAAGGAGAATCCTTGTCCTTGCTGATCCCACTCCTTCATCTTCAGTGGGCTGTGGAAGGCTTCTGAGCCTGTTTCACAGGGACCTCCAGTAGCTTAAAAGCTTGGTCACTTGCTGTTTCAGAGATATGCATTAACTTTTAGCTGACTGCACACAGAATTTTCAGTTTTGAAGAACTTCCTTTGTGAAGCTTGCCGGTCCTGTTTTCCATCTGAAAAAATTTGAAGTCTTTTCCTAACTTACTGATGAGTACATCTCATAATAATGTCACAAAAACTGAAACCTGAAGAAGTCAATCCTAATAATGACAGTTCAGCATTAGTTTTATTTATTCATTTTTCCTCTGTGGACCTGAGTTTTCTAAACCAAATCTAATAGGTTTTGTATGTTTCTGTGCCTGCCTTTGCTATGTCTTTGGTAATAATAGCTGCTATGTTATATTGAGAGGCTGCTCAGTAGACTTCGCATTATTATAGACACTATATATATTTCTGATTTTTACTTTATTCATGGATACTGAGATCTAAAGGGTTAGACTTCTTGCCCAACTCACACAACTAGTAATGGTGGAGTCAAGGCTCAGCTCATGTCCAACAGATTCAGAATGTTCTTTCCTTACACCAAGAGTATAGTAATCAAATTGATATGTCAAATATTTCAAGTGAGAATATATTTCTGAGTTATTTAAAACCTATACCAAGTATTTAGTACTTTTGCTTATCTCTTGAATTCAATGAAAGCAAATACATGTACATAAAAATATAAATGAAGAATAACTGTCAAACCCTGGAAATTCTTTATTATTCAGAGTCTAAAAAAAGCATGTTTTGGATTACAACCTAGCTGTCAGAATGCAATTTGTCAGCACAGAACGAGCTAACCAGGATAAAAAGAACACACTAATCATTTTTTGAAAAAAAAAAAACCGAGGTTCCCAATTTCCCATTTACACAGAGAAACCAGAGGTTGCCATGGTAACCACAAAACATTTGCAAAACAAAGTCTGAATATGTGGGACACAAAGTGCAGTGTGCTTTCCTTTCGTGTTCCCTGCCCATAGCCAGCATTTTAAGGAAAAGTTATTAAGAGTAGTTTCATCCTCTTCTTATTTATTCAGAACTCTTAAATAATTTCTGCAATCCTACCAATGTTTTGAATAAAGTCTGATTATGTCCTTAGGGTAAGTTTTTTTTGTAAAGTTGAATTGTTGAGCTGAAGATAAAAATATTGTAAAAGCTGAACTGTGTGTGACCCAGCCTCAAAGCCCACCAGTAGCCTGTACTACCTGATATTTTTGTGTCTTATAGTTGAAATATTTCAGTGAACCAAATCTTATTGCACAAGACAGTCTGTGCTTAATTGACAGGTTATGCATTCCCTGACTAGGACCACTTGCATTTGCCCCTTCTTTGAAGGCTTACCCCCACCCATGATCTAGAGCACTCAGTGCCCAAGTGTGGTCCCACCATAACCTGCATTAAAATACCCTGTGGAAGTTCAAAGACATGACTTTGGATCCCATTTCTGGTTGGTAGTTTCATAATCTCTATAGTAGAGTCTAGGAATGTGAATTTTATCATTTTAAATATATTTTGACTGAAACTGGGAGCAGTTTGGACTTTATTGTTAAGAAAGCTAGATGGTCTAGCTTTCCCCTATGTGAGAAAACATACAACCCTTCACTTTCTTGTTTCCCTTAGCATAATATTCTCTAATTCCATCCATTTACCAGCAAATGCTGTAATTTCATTCTTCTTTATGGCTGAGGAAAATACCATTGTGTATGTGTAACACATTTTCCTTATCCATTCATCTCTTAATGGGCACCTGAGCTGGTTCTTTAACTTGGCTATTGTGAGTTGCACTGTTATAAACACTGATGTATCTATGCCACTATAGTATGCTGGTTCTAGTTCTTTTGGGTAAATATTGGGGAGCAGGATAGCTGGGTTATATGGTGGTTCTGAGCAACCTTCATCCTGCTTTCCAAAGTGGTTGTACTAAATTTCCACTCCTACCAACAGTGTATGAGTGAACATTTTCCCCACATCCTTGCCAACATATATTGTTATTTATATTCTTGATGATTGTCATTCTGACTGGAGTGAGATACAATCTCAATGTAGTTTTTATTTGCATATCCCTCCTAGGGATATTGAAGACTTTTTATATATTAGTATTTCTTCCTTTTGAGGAATTGTCTGTTAAGTTCTTTTGCCTATTTGTTAAGTATGGGGTCTTATTTTATTATATTTATGTATTTTCTTGGTGTTAGCTTTTTTGAGTTATGTATGTATTCTGGGTATTAATCCCTTGTCAGAGATCAATGGCAAAGATATTCTTCCATTCTGTAGGCTCTCTTTTCACATTCTTATTTTCTTTGCTGTGCAGAAGCTTTTTAAATTGATGGCATCCCATTTATTGATTCTTGGGGTATTTTTTCCTGGTGCTTTAGGGATCTTGTTAAGGAAATCATTGCCTGTGCTAATGTATTGGACTGTTAAGCCTATTTTTCTTCCAGTGGTTACAGAGTTCTTGATCTAATTCCTAGGTCTTTGATCCACTTTGAGATCTACTTTGAAACTGAAAGATAGGGATCTAGTTTCATTCTTCTACATATAGATATGTATTATCCAGTATTATGTTTTACCATTTGTTAAAAAGGCTATCTCTTCTCCAACATGTTTTTGGCATCTTCGTTGAGTATCAAATGACTATATCTACATGGTTTGGTCTCTGTATCTTCCATTGTATTCCATTTGTCTTCAAATCTGTTTGATGCCAATACCATGCTGTTTTATTACTATAGCTCTGAGGTATAATTTAATATTAATATAATTGTTATGCCTCCTGCATTGCTCTTCTTGTTCAGGATTGCTTTGTCTATTCTGGATCTCTTATTCTTCAAAATAAATTTTAGGGCTGTTTTTCTAGTTTTATGAAGAATGTCATTGCTGTTTTTATGGGATTTATTGAATCTGTGTAATGCTTTCATTATTATGGCAATTTTGACAATATTAATTCTGCCTATCCAAGAACATGGGAGGTCTTCCCATCTTCTAAGATTTTTCTAAATTTCTTTCTTCAGTGTTCTACAGTTTTCATCATAAAGATCTTTCACTTCTTTGGTTAGATTTATTCCCAAGTTTGTTTGTTTTAGGTTTTTGTGAATGGAATGGTTTTGCTGATTTCTTTCTCAGCAAATTTATTATTGGAGTAGAGGAAATCGATTGATTTATGTATGTTGACCTTATGTCCTGCTACTTTACTAAATTTATTTGTCAGCTCTAGAAGTTTACTGGTGAAGTTTTCTGGGGTCTTCTAGATAGGATCATCTAATCAGCAAACAGAGATAATTTATCTTCTTATTTTCTTATTTGTATCCCTTTAGTTTCATTTTCTTGACTGATTGCTCTGTCTAGAGTTTCAAGTACAATGTTCAATAGGAGTTGTGAGA